TGTTCATCAATAAATGATTTGTTTTTTTTAAGCAACTGGAAGTGGACGTTTCAATTTCGGGGGCATGTTGCAGCTTACGGCAAGCTCTAATGAATAATTACGTTCCATTGATTTGACATCCTTCCCAGGATTTTTTAGGCATAAAGTACTTGGAAATGGTTTGCCGTTTCTTCTATCTGGCAGCGCTGCAGAAACCAGACCGCTTGTCCGAAGGCTTCCGAGGTGCCCAAGGCACATAATCCCCAAAGCAGATCACACCTTTGGGGATCTCAGCAATCCCATTTTGGGAACCACGGTGGAAATTTGAGCCCCAAACCATTGGGAGTTCCAACTCCTTAGCTATACCAGTTGTAGCATACTGGGCCGTGGGGAAGGGTCCTCAGAACTTTCCTGCTCTTGTTTGAAAATGATCTCAAAAACACATGTGAGGGCTGTTTGATTCCCTTCAATAGAATACTTGGATTACAACTCCCACTGGCTATGCTGGCTGTGGAGGATGGGATCTTTAGTCCAGCACCTGGTGGGATCCAGATGGGAGAAAGCTGCTTCATGCATATTTTTTTATTTTCTGGCTTCTGTGCTTTTTTTTCCCCTGCTGGAAGGCAAAAACGAAGCAAATCGACACACACACACCCAAATTATTGCTCAAGTTTTTGTTTTGATGATACTTGAATTGTCAGCTTGTTTTTCCCCTGTCTGCCCTCTTCTAGAGGATGATGTTGTTGAATGGCATAAGGTACATGTAGGAAATTAAGAAGCAAATAACATAAACTGTCGACATCCTGATTAGAGATGGGCACGAACTGCCGATTTGTGCCAGTTTGTCCGCTGAACAGACATTCGGCGCTTCCCAGGCCTGCCTCCTCTGGCAGGTGCCCACTCAGAGGCAACACCTGGAGGAGGTACAGCGGGGAAGCAGGGACGCTGCCTCTGAGTGGGCACCCCATAAACTATCTACATCCTGATTAGAGATGGGCACGAACTGCCGATTTGTGCCAGTTCGTTTGTCCGCCAAACAGCCATTCAGCGCTTCCCAGGCCTGCCTCCTCTGGCAGGCGCCCACTCAGAGGCAACATCCAGAGGAGGTAGGGCAGGGAAGCCGGGATGCTGAGTGGGCACCCAACAGAGGAGGCAGGCCTGGGGAGCGCCGAACACCTACCTGTTCAGCCACTAAATGGACTGGCACGAACAGCCAAAGCAGCAATTTGTGCCCATCTCTAATCCCGAGCCTTGAAAGAAAGACAGGAACCCGAGATGTACAGAATTTCAAACCCTTCTTCCTTGAAAATGATGTCGACTCAGCCGTGCCGAAGGAGAAGCCCCGAGCCCTGCATTTCTAATCGGTAGGAGTGTTTGTCCCAGGAATACAACCCCAAGCGACTCCCGAGTTTTGCCCACATGCTAAATGAAGCTTATTTTCGTCCTGGTGATTTATTTTCGCAGGCTGGCAGCCCATTCCGAGAGCCGTTAATCAAGTTTCTGACGCGCCATCCATCCCAGACCGTGGAGCTCTTTATGATGGAAGCTACTTTAAATGATCCACAGTGGAGCAGAATGTTCATGGTAACTGGTATTCCATTTATATAGGGAGATCAAGGCCGTCGGCAGGCTGGCGGAGAGGCAGAGACGCAGCTGTTTAGACCCTTTAAGCTTGATCAAGGTGTTTAGTGTGAGAGCCACTGAGGGATACTCTCCCGTTTTTCCAGAGCACAAACTCCCCTCTGCCATCCGGCCTTCTTGCAACGTTAATGATTAAGGATTACTTTGCCTCTGCCTAACTAGGCTCCCGCCAACCTAGCAGTTCGAAAGCATGTAAATATGCGAGTAGATAAATAGGGACCACCTTGGTGGGAAGGTCACAGCGTTCGGTGTCTAGTCACGCTGGCCACGTGACCACGGAAACTGTGTACAGACAAAACGCTGGCTCTACGGCTTAGAGACGGGGATGAGCACTGCGCCCTAGAGTCGGACACGACTGGACTAAATGTCAAGGGCAACCTTTACCTTTACCTAACTATGCTTACTGCTTAGCAAGGATTTCACTTCAAATATGTGGTTTAGTTTGCTTTTTTTCTCATGGTGTTCGAGAAGATGCAAACCAGGGACTTTTTGATCCATCCCCTGGTTTTCTGGCATTGTGTTATTATGTGCCATGAAGTTGCTTCTGACCCCTATGAATGAGTCATCTCCAAAATGTCTTGTCCTCAACAGCCCTGTCCAGCTCTTTGTAGACTCAAGCCTGGGGCTTCCTTTAGGGACTCAGTCCCTCTCGTATTCGGCCTTCCTCTTTTCCTGCTGCCTTCCACTTTTCCTAGCATTATGGTCTTTTCCAGAGAATCCTGTCTTCTCAGGATGTGTCCCAAGCGGGTATCATAGCCTCTCTCAAACACATGCCTGCCAGTTCCTTTGGAGTAGAAATCCCAACCTCTTCAGTGATGTTGACTAGAGAGATGTGGGTGTTGTAGCTGAGTCCCTCTGCAGGACAGCAATTTGGGGAAATTAGGCTGAAGATAGTAAAATTAATCAGTCAGTAAGCTTCTGGATTGAGTCTCTTCTCTGCTATGAACTTGCTTGATGAATGCAGGAGAGCTGCTTCTATCCTTGTTTCCAGCCTCTGTAGGGTGGGCGATAGTCCTGCTTAAGGGTTTGGAAATGTAACTTTTCCCCCGTTCTTGTTCCCAGAGGGCTTTACTTACTGGTTGTGCTGTCTAAGGGTTTCTGTGCGTCTGAGTTCTGTGTCAGGCTCCCCTCCACCTTACAAGGTCATTATGGGGATTATACTGAATAATGCACACCACAACATTTGAATCTTAAATGACACAATCAAATGGGTGCTTGTGTCAGCCTTGACAACATCTTGGGTCTGGCAAGAGTGAGAAGCTGTACAGAGAAGGAACTGTGGGTTCGGGGCAGGCCTTACGTATTGGAAAAGTTACTTTTTTGAACAGTGGTTCCCCAAATTCTCCAGGCAGTGTGGTTGAGGGCCATGCTGACTAAGAGGGAATTATGATTAAAAAAGAATCAATGTTTCATGGGCACCAGAATGCGCACCATTGAAACAGTTTGCCATTTTTATTCGATCCGCCACTATTATAACATCCAGTACTGTTGGCTGTCTCAGTGATTTAGGTCTCTGGCTGTGGAGCCAGAGTTTAGGAGTTCAATTCCCCCGCTGTGCCTCCTTGACAGGGGGCTGGACCCAATGATCCATAGGGTCTCTTCCAGCTCTTCAGTTCCAAAATGATGATGATGATTAAATTTGAGCATTGAATCGGTGCACCCGATTTTAAGCGCAGAAGTGCTAGCGTGTGTCCGGCCGTAATTGAACTATGGCTGAGTGCCATGCCCTCATCAGAATTTGCTTTTTTTTTCAATTCCTTTTACATCAGAGTTTTTTGAAGCATAAAGATGCAAAACCCTTGCGTGACGTTCTGGCGGCCAACCCGAACCGCTTCATCACCCTGTTGTTACCTGGCGGTACCCAAGCAGCCGTCCGCCCGGGCTCCCCCAGCACCAGCACGATGCGCTTGGATCTCCAGTTTCAGGCGATCAAGGTACCGTTTTCCTTCAACTCGTTTTTTGCTGCCTTCTTGAGCCCCCCCCAAACCGCCCCTGTTTTGGTTTGAGAATATCTCTTTAGTGTATTAGAAGGGGTGACTCCATCCTTGTGGAGTTTCCACCAGATAAGCCAAGACTCCATGGCTCTGTAGGGCCTTTGGTCTTTAAAAAGTGGCTTTCAGGTCAGTTATTATAATTGTTTTATACTGATGGTAGACCTTATACAGTGGTGCCTCGCATAGCGATGTTAATCCGTGCAGCAAAAATCGCTGCTAAGCGATTTCGTCGCTATGCGATTTTAAAAAGCCCATAGAAATGCATTGAAACCCCTTCAATGCGTTCCTATGGGCTTAAAAACTAACCTTAAGCAAAAATCCTCCATTGCGGCGGCCATTTTCAGTGCCTCTAAAGCGAGGCAACACAGTGGGCGGCCATTTTGTTTACCCGGCGGCCATTTTGGAACCGCCGATCAGCTGTTAAAAAATCATCGCTTTGCGATGATCAGTAAGCGAAACGGGACCGCTCATCACAAAGTGAAAAAAACCCATTGGAAACATCGCAAAGCGATCGCAAAAGCGATCACAAAATCTTCGTCACTATTCGGTTTCATCGCTAAACAGAGCGCCCGGTAAGCGAGGCACCACTGTATACAGAATGCAATAAAAGTGGTCATCAGTCGAGTTGGACAGAGAGAAGTCAGGTGCGCTGAGTGTATGGAACAATTTTAGCCAAAAGATGCGCCAAATTCGGAGTTTTAAGCCTTTAATAAAGAAAAGTTATTTTTAAATGCCTTTCAGAAATTGGTTTTAAAGTTGTATTTTATATCTGTTTTAAAGAGTTGCTTTTGTTTTTCTACATCGCTTTGGGAGCCTTTATTGGAGAGAAAGGAATAATGTTAATAATAATCCTGTGCTTATTAATATTAAATGGCAATATTTAATATTTTAATGTGCTGTCCCTAAATTTCTGGGTTTTTTAAAAAATAGTATTTAATTAACATAAAAATACATGTCCTTGGTTCCTTGTATCTGACTTTTCGGAAACGTATGCTCGGTACTTGCTTGGTATTGCTGGTTCTTTCCACCCCCTCTTTACAGGCCAGCTTCGCTTGTGGTTTCAAAAGATGGGAGGTTCTTAATGCTTCCCACCCATCCACCCCTTCCCGGAATTACTGGAAAGGGAACATTAAGTGGCCCTAATGATGCACCCGCTTAAGCCTATTGAAGAACCGAACATCCGTACAAATGATTTTGTGTTCATTCCAACAGATCATAAGCATCATTGTGAAGAACGATGAATGCTGGCTGGCCAACCAGCATTCCTTGGTCAGCCAACTCAGGCGAGTGTGGGTCAGCGAAGCTTTTCAGGAAAGGCACCGGAAAGAGAACATGGCAGCAACAAATTGGAAGGAGCCCAAACTCCTAGCATATTGCTTACTGAATTACTGCAAGTACGTAGATCCATGAATGCAGTGCTCTCCCGGTAGCAAACATTGCCATTGGAGGTCACGGTAATAAGATTCTGAATTAAGCATGCAGAGAAGTGAGACGTAGGATGAAAAATAACCTAGAGCCCCCACCAAAATGTAGAGAGAAATCGTGCTTTTTGCATCGGTGGTTGTTGGAGGTTTTTCGGGCTGTCTGGCCGTGTTCTGAGGTTTTTCTTCCTAGCGTTTCGCCAGTCTCTGGGGCCAGCATCTTCAGAGGACAGGAACCAGATGACAGACAGAGTTCTGACTCCTATCCTCTGAAGATGCCGGCCACAGAGACTGGCAAAACGTTAGGAAGAAAACCTCAAGAACATGGCCAGACAGCCTGAAAGACCTACTACCATATTTTCATATGCATTGCCAGAACTGGCCACAAGATGGCACTAGAGAACATGCTGTGTACTCCTCATTAACAAGTACCTGTATTCATAGCATGGCCTCTGGCTCCATCCAGTGGCCTGTTCTGGTAATACATGTGAAAATAGGGTTTTCTGGATTTTTTTTTCTATTAATATTTTCAGATGGTGGATAAGTGAAACTGTGGATACTGATGGATACAGGGGTCCTACTGTACAGGAATGAGAATCCTTAATCCCAAGAGTTGAACCTGGCCCCCTTTGTGGTCCCAGTGTGGCCCTTTGGTCTTCCCCAGACACCCATTCCTCAAAACACCATCTTTGGGTGGCTTCCCAGCTTATGTGTGTCTTCCCCCCTCTTTCAGTAGTTTAAAATGCCTTTCTTGAGGTTTGCTGACTTTTAAAATGAGGCCTAAGGTGAAAAATGATGCAATGTTTTTGGGTTTTGCCTCCTGCTTGAACGCGACTCCCAAGAATGTGTCTGGCGCTTGGCCCTTGGGGTGTAACTGGTTTTGCCCCTCTTGGAGTATAGCCAGTACAGTGGTGGCCCGCATAGCAATGATAATCCGTTCTGGATAAACCGTCACTATCCAGAATCATCGCTATCTGAAACAGAAAAGCCCATAGGAACCCATTGAACCCCCTTGAATGCGTTCCTATGGGCTTAAAACTCACTGTTATGCGAAAATCATCCATCCGGCCGCTATTTTCGCTGCCCGGTAAGCAAGGAAAGGGCGCGAAAATGCTGTGGGTGGCCATTTTTCCCTGGTGGCCATTTTGGAACCGCCGATCAGCTGTTTTTAAAACATCGTTATACTGTAGCCGATCAGCTGTTTTAAAAACATTGTTATATGATAATTGGTAAGCGAAACGCTTACCGATCATCACAAAGCGATGTTTGCCCATCTAGAACATCGCAGTGCGATCACTTTTGCGATCGCAAAAACCTCATTGCTATGTGGATTTATTGTTAAACGGGGCGCTCGTTAGGCGAGGCACCACTGTATTTTGTAAATCTGTTTTGTTTTAGCTGGCTGATTCTTAACTTTTTGCCCTTTATTTTTTTCCCCCTTCAGGAGAAATTACGGTGACATTGAGTTGCTCTTCCAGCTCCTCCGAGCCTTTACGGGGCGTTTCCTGTGCAATATGACTTTTTTGAAAGAATACATGGAGGAAGAAATCCCCCAAAATTACACCATTCCCCAAAAACGGGCTCTTTTCTTCCGTTTTGTTGACTTTGCGGATCCTAACTTTGGAGACGAACTGAAAGCCAAGGTAAGCAAATGAATTGAAACCAGTTTGGTATTTATTTAACTTTTTCTTTCCCTAGGCCTCCAAAGTTGCTTGCTTTAAATGTCACTGGGTGTCTGATAATTAGCGAGGCCACTTTGGCGAAAATGCCAGGCCCAGAGAAGAGCAAGAAGCGGTGAAGCCGGCAATTCGTCAAACTTTGTTTTGAATGGGGCTCGTCTTGACAGAGAAAGCTTAATTTCTCGATGGATCCGCAGGATCCTGTTATGTTCAGTGCTCTGTAGCTCTGCTAGAATAGCAGGTGACTCATGCTTTGAAGGAGTACATGGATGTTTCTTATTGTTTCTGATTTTTCTCCCCTCGTTTCTGATCTGCAGGTTCTGCAACACATCCTGAATCCGGCTTTCTTGCACAGCTTTGAAAAGGGGGAAGGGGAGCAACTCTTGGGCCCCCCTAACCCAGAAGGGGATAACCCCGAAAGCATCACCAGTGTGTTCATAACCAAGGTTTGTTGTTACGTGCCGTCAGGTCAACTCCAACTTCCGGCGATTCTATGAATGAATGATCTTCAAAATGTCCTCAACTGGCCCTGTTCAGCTCTTGTAGATCCAAACTTATGGCTTCCTTTAGGAAGTCTATCCATAGCCTTCCTACTTTCCTGCTGCCTTCAAGTTTTCCCACCATTATTGTCTTTTCCAGAGAATCTTGCCTTCTCGTGATGCGCCCAAAGTAGAACAGCCTTAGTGTTCAATGTTTTGGCCTCCAGAGATAGTTTGGGTAGTTCAGCCTAAAAAGCAGAGGAACACATATTGGATGTGACTTGTCCAAAGTGTGTAATGTTTTCATGTTAAGGTGGTGTAGAGGATATATCGTTGACCCCAGTCTTGGGGGAATCATGAAGCTCACGAGGCGACCTTGGGCTAGTTGTATCAGGTGGTGGTTGAGGGAGACTGGGGAGCCATAGAACCACGTTTATCTCTTTGAACTCATTAGAGGAAAGCCATTCCTGGCATATTAATATTCGAAATTCTTCTTTTTCTGCATCCTTGGTTCCAGTGCAAGAGCCTAAGCCTAACTTGCCCATGGGTGGAGAAGGGCTGAAAGATAGGCAGCTGTCCAAGGTTTGTTTTGTGCCAAGAGTTGAGATCTAGGCTGTCAGACTTCTCAGAGTTTGTCATGATTCCTGTTCCCCAGGGAAATAAAAACCCCCAGCCTGAACTCTGTGGGCAAGATAACGTTGCTGGGTCGTAGGCCCTCCTGTCCTTCACCTTTCACTATGACCAGCTAGGGATGATGGGAATTGTAGTCTAACCATAAGAAGGGCCACACACATTCCACACCTTGCGGTACTTCTTCTGTGGGCATCTGAGTGGCTCGCCTGGGTGAGCAGAATCATCCCAGTATCTGGGAGCCCTTTGCTGCCTTATGGAAGAACTCTGGCGTGTAGCCGAAACGGCCCAGCCCAGAAAGCAAGTCACGTTACGTGCCCTTCGGGGGTTGGTTCCGTCTCCAGCCGCTTCTAGCCTTTGCTTGGAAGGAAGAGATACAGTGGTGCCTTGCTTAACGAGCGCCCCGTTTAATGACGAATCCTCATAGCGATGTGGATTTTGCAATGGCAAAAGCGATCGCATTGCAATGTTTTAAATGGCAAAACATCGCATTGCGATGATCGGTAAGCATTTCGCTTACCGATTTTCGCATTGCAATGTTTTTAAAACAGCTGATCGGCAGTTCCAAAATGGTTGCCATGTAAACAGAATGGCCGCCCGCAGCGTTTTTGCGCGGTTTTCTCGCATACCGGGTGGCGAAAATGGCGGCCGTATGGAGGATTTCCGCATAGCGGTGAGTTTTCCCCCCATAAGAATGCATTGAACATGTTTTAATGCATTCCTATGGGGTTTTTTGCCCCGCATAGCAACGAATCTGGATAGCGACGATTTTTTTGGAATGGATTATCGTCGCTATGCGGGGCACCACTGTACTGCCTTTTGGGCCCCGCGCCTCTGAAGTCCCATCTCCTTTTCTCCTTCGTGGGGCCAGGTCCTGGATCCAGAGAAGCAGCCGGACATGCTGGATTCGCTCCGGATCTACCTCTTGCAGTTTGCCACCCTCCTGGTGGAGCACGCGCCGCACCACATCCACGACAACAACAAGAACCGGAACAGCAAACTGCGGCGCCTCATGACCTTTGCATGGCCTTGCCTGCTGTCCAAGGCGTGCGTCGACCCAGCTTGCAAGTACAGCGGGCACTTGCTCCTTGCCCACATCATTGCTAAATTTGCCATTCACAAGAAGATCGTCTTACAGGTAATAATAAAAAAGCTCCCCCAGACACATTCTCAAAGTGTATTATCAAGACTGACCACTAGTTGGAACCAGAGACTAGGCTATATAAAGGTGGCTTTACAGAAACACATTTGTGCTGTGACAAGCAGCTTCCGGTGACATGGAAAAGCCTCATTTGTGGGGCAGGGAGAGAGGTAGCAGTTGCTTGTTTCAGGAAAGTCTCCCTTGCGAACAGGAGGGCAGGAAACCCAGTTTGCAAGACTTGGCTAAAATCTCCTCTCTCAACCCCGCACGGACACCAGAGGAACTGGAAGTAACTGCTTCATTTATCCGCTGTTTCCGACATCTGCGGGGCAGCTTGGAACAAAGTCCCTGTGGATAAAATGGTCCGTACTGTACTACTGTGTTTCCCCGAAAATAAGGCAAAGCCTTATATTAATCTTCGCTCCAAAGAAAGCATTAGAGCTTATTTTCAGGGGGTGTCTTATTTTATTTTTTTCATGTACATTTATTCAAACACAGCTGTGTCATATTCTGGTTGCTGCACAAGGGTAGAGGACGGGATGTCACTTAACTAGGGCTTATTTTTGGGGTAGGGCTTATATTATGAGCATCCTGAGAAATCCTACTAGGGTTTATTTTCAGGTTAGGTCTTATTTTCGGTGAAGACGGTTATTTACATGCGTGTGTGGCTGCGTCTTTCATGCCCTCCTGTGCGTGGTTCACCCACAGTGGAAAGTTCATCCAGTAAAAGCAACAGCAGAATGAACGTAAGGAGACCGTGGTGGCTGAAATCTTGTTGTTTAACATCGTAAGTTGCAACTAGAGTAAGTCTGTTGAATCAGTGGCACTTCGAAGAGGAATTGACTCCCCAAATCTCCACCGATTCAGTGGGGTTGCTCTCCTTGCAGCCTAGCTGTGCTAAGCAACAGGATTTCAGCCAGCGTGTCCTTTATCTGCTTGCTTGGGAGAAAGTAATTTTGTTTTTGGCTTCCGTTCAAATAAGCGTTCCAAGGTGTGAGTAGATAGACCCAAATTGGAAATGCTGGCTCAGCTCGGCGGCAGTCCCAAGAGGCAGCGTGGGGCAGACAATATTTAAATACAAAAATGAAAAGGAATTTTTAGGGATGTGGGAAGATGAGAAAGAGTGTGCTGCCTTTTTTTCGGTGGAGCGACGGGGGCTAAAGATGCTGTGCAAATGATGTCTGCTCTGCCATGGCTGGATAGGGAGTTTGGGCTCCCCGAACTTACCGAGCAAGCTTGTTTTTAAAAGGCTGATTGATGGTTGTGAAATTGGAGGAGGTTTGGGGAACTGGAGATGGAAGGACCTCTGAGAAGGCCTTAGGTGTGAAAATATACCTGGATGACCACCTTCTCTTGTGATGGACAATGATGGTTGCGTTTTGACCGTTGACCTGTCCAAGTGTCACGGATCCATTCTCAAAACCTCTCTTGACTTTCCTGCATTACGTTTTTGTTCCCTCTGTGTCTTCCTCCTTTCCAGGTGTTTCATAGTCTCCTGAAGGCTCACGCCATGGAAGCCCGGGCCATCGTCAGGCAAGCGATGGCGATCCTCACGCCAGCCGTGCCTGCTCGAATGGAAGACGGGCACCAGATGTTGACCCACTGGACAAGGAAGATCATAGTCGAAGAGGGTCATACAGTTCCTCAGCTGGTTCATATTTTGCATTTAATCGTCCAGCACTTCAAGGTATTTTACTCGCTTGATCATATTCTTAGGAGGTATGTCAATGGTGTGGGGTGCAAAACTTCCCACTATTTTAGTTGTTTCCCATTGAAAAAGATCTTTTGTTTAGCAAAGCCAGTAACTTAATGAATGGGGTAGAACTGGCTGTTTTGGAGTTGCATTGTGATTATATTATTTTTAAAAAACAATGTTATGTGTGGTTATGTGCATGTACGGGGTGTTATATGTGTTTTAATTCTCTCTTTAATGTTAGTTTGTAAATTAGTTAAATGTGCACATAATTGATCCCAATCAATTTTCAAGGCATTAATGATTTTTGGAGAGATGGAAAATCTGGAGAAACCTACACCAGGTCAAAATCTGAATATTGGCTAGAGAACACTTGGATATATTAGGGGGACGACACATTTATTTCTCTATGGAGAATATATTTAGAGATAAAGATACTAACTCTCAGCTGAAATCCAAGAGTTTCCCAAATAGTGGAATTGGAAATGAGAGATGTTCCTGCAGTATTGGACCCAAATCCAAGGAGGTTTTTGCCCATTTGGGCTTCCCCGTTCCGTACAGCGATGTTTTCAAATAGCGAGGGTTAATCCGGAACGGATTAACCTCGCTATGCGAGGCACCACTGTATTTAGAGATGAAGATAATCCCTCTCAGCTGAAATCCAAGAGTTTCCCAAATAGTGGAATTGGAAATGAGAGATGTTCCTGCAGTATTGGACCCAAATCCAAGGGCTTAGTTCCGTGGTTCCCAACCTTGGGTCCCCAGATGTTCTTGGACTACAATTCTGCGAAATCCTGGCCAGCACAGCGAGTGGTGAAGGCTTCTGGGAGTTTTAGTCCAAGAACATCTGGATCACCCAAGGTTGGGAATCACTGCCTTAGTCCCAACGATGACTGCTCAGCTAACTAGAGCTAGAACTGGGCCATTAAGTCATTTGCTTATGTTTCTGTAAATCCGATTGTTTCAGTGGCTCTCCTCCATCCGTTCAGTCAAAAGAGAAGACCGCCGTGTGGTTCTTTTATTTAATCCATACAATAAAATGGTTGACCATCTTTGTTTCCTGATTTGAAACGTTTCACATAGAGAGAATAGAGAATAACACCGCTCACTTGAGGTGGGTCAGCAATGATCTAAAGGAAAGTGCAGTGGTGCCTCGCTTAACGACGATAATCCATTCCAGAAAAATCGCTGTTAAGCGAAAACATTGTAAAGTGAAATTAAAAACCCCATTGAAATGTATTGAAACCCGTTCAATGCGTTCCAGTGAGGTAAAAACACCATCCAGCGAAGATCTTCCATACGGCAGCCGTTTTCGCGGCCTGTGTAGCGAGGAATCCGTCCCTAAGCACAGCGCGGAGCCATTTTAAGCACCCGGTGGCCATTTTGAAAACCCGACGATCAGCTGTTTTTGATCGTCGTAAAGTGGAAATCGGTTCCCGAAGCAGGGAACTGATAATCGCTAAGCGAAATCCCCCCATTTAGACCATCGTTTTGCAATAGCAAAATGATCGTCGTAAAGCGGATTCGTCGTAATGCGGGGCAATCATTAAGCGAGACACCACTGTAGTGACTCCAAATACATTCTTTGGTTCCAACCAAGCTTCTGGGTTTGTTTGTTTTTCCAATTCTCTGATATTTGCTGCAAATTATATGAATCAGATATTGTGCAGATCAAAGATTTTATTTTATTTCATTTATTTGGAATATTTTTTCCTTGCCTTTCTTCTTAAGAAGAGCCCACATGGCTTGCCTCATTGAAAGACAATGTCTAAGATCAGGGTTTTTTAAATTGTGAAATGATGGCAACAGATGATTGTGAAATCAGGTAACTTCATGAAAAGCGTTTGCATGGCACAAAACAGGTCATGCTGCCGCAGCCCTCCTAGGTGCTCCCGAAGGGCAGGGACACAAATCAAATTTGGAATGATTTATTGCAGGAAAGAGTACTTTGTAAAGCATGGCCTGCGTTGAATGGCCTGAGGGTCAGAGGATTCATTCCAACCCTTGTTCCAGGGAATGGCTCTCCTCTCTTTCTTCGTGCTCAGTCATTTGGCTTACGGTGTGAATGAGAGCGGTCGGTTGGTTTTGCCATTTCAGAATAATACCCCAAAGGTTTTCCCTATTAGTGGACTCGGGAGCGAATCACAAACTTAAGATGAAAAGATTCTGTAATCAATTGGCCAGAGGTACTTGAAATACTAGAGTTAAACAAGAAGGCTTGCCTTTTTTTTCTTCATTGCAGGTCCCTCTTAGGTTTCAAAGAAAATTGATGGACTAGGTCTGTCAGCAACCTATACTTAGTACAGCTTGAATTGGGTAGGAAAGGTTAGACCATTTCTGTTCTGCCTAGCATCACCACTTATGAGGCATATTTTTATCAACATAGGAGGTAAAGGTAAAGGTTCCCCTAGACATTTAGTCCAGTCGTGTTCGACTCTAGGGGGCGGTGCTCATCCCCGTTTCCAAGCCATAAAGCCAGCGTTTTGTCCAAAGACAATCTTCCGTGGTCACGTGGCCAGCGCGACTAGACACGGAACGCTGTTACCTTCCCACCGAGGTGGTACCTATTTATCTACTCGCATTTTTACATGCTTTAGAACGGCATGGTTGGCAGGAGCTGGGACAAGCGGCGGGAGCTCACTCCGTTGCGTGGATTCGCTCTTACGACTGCAGCACCGCCATGTCCCTGTATGGGGGGGAACCGAAATTCTGAGGTTCTTGGGTCAACACCCCCCCAAAAAACCATTTCTTGTTTCTCCCTTTGAATATGTTGCTTGCAGTGTCTTTACACCAGCATTCTGATTCCATCCTAAGGTGTAGAAAATAGAGGTGGAAATCTTGTGGTCAGTACCAACTGATGTTAGACCCCTGGAAATCAGTGGGAAATGTCAGTCGACGTGCAGTGCAGGAATCCAAATAAAAAAAAATCTGACACACAGTTGTCTAATTTTGTCTTAAATGCCTCCAGCACTGGAGTGCTCCTGAGGTCATTGGTTCCATTGTCGTACTGCTCTAACAGTTAGGAAGTTTTCTTGATATTCAGCCCAAATTTGGCTTCCTGTAGCTTGAGCCCATTATTACATGCCCTGCACTCCGGGATGATTGAGAACAGATCCTGCCCTTTCTCTCTGTGACTACCTTCAAGTATTTGAAAAGTGCTGTCATATCCCTCTCAGTCTAAATATGCCCAGTTTTTTTCAGTCTTTCCTCATTGGGCTTAGTTTCCAGTCCTCTGATCATTTCTATTGCCCTTCTCCGAACTTGTTCCAGTTTGTCTAAATCCTTGGTGTTCAGAGGTGGACACAGTACTCTAGATGCCACCTAACCAGTGCCAAATAAAGGGGGAATAAT